AGGAGCTAACTCAGAGTCTCAGAGCTACCTCAGGTGGCCAAACACAGGCTCTGACTGTGGATCCCTAACAGACCATGTGGGTCCACCATCAGCAGATGACTGGGGCCAACCGCCCTTGCTGAAGCTGGGAAGGCTGCACTGGGCAATGTGCTACCTATTATGAACACTGCTACTGCTGCCCTGGAGTTCACCACTGCCTCCCTAAGCTGGAGGGGGACTGTTTTGAGTTTAAGTTCATCATGCACAGACCAAGTAAGGCAATCCTGTTCTTAAAGGGGCCTGAACAATGCGAAGGGCCAAAGTAGCAGTCGTCTTCTTACAGACAGCTGTGAACACGTTAGGAGACTTCTAGAAACTAGCTGTTGTTTACCATGGGGACATCTGTAAGAGCCGTCTTATAGTAACAGGAATGTTCCCTTGAGATGCTCCCTAGACTGACTTTAGGAGTAGACCACTTTACAGAGATGTCAAGATGTTCTTCCATTGTTCTTCAAGTGCATAGAACTTTTGAAGTGGGGTGGCAAGAAGAGGATCGACCAACCCTGGCTCTGAAGATGTGTTACCAAGTTAGCTTCCACTTTCAAACTCGCCTCCTCCTCCAAGGAACAACGCAGTTCCCCATATCATAGTAACAAACACAAGTGCCATTTGCAGAGCTCCTGCTGTATTGGAGTCTCCTCTGATCCTGATAACCTTGCTAACTGTTTACTGTCTTACCAGTGAGCACACAGATGCAGGCTGGGCAAAGTGACTTATCCCAAGTTCTGGAATAAGTGCAGGGACCTGAAATGTAGCCCAGATCTGCTCCGCTGATCTCGGCACTCCTGGTCTTTTACCTCATTGCAAAGCCCCTCTCAAAGGTTCACACCATTAGGAACTGGGGCTCCATTAAATGATGGCCTGGCGGTGGTGACAGGGATCACACTGGGCAGGGGCTGTTTCTTTTCTTTAAATACCTAGTTAGTTTGCAAAAGATTAGAGTATGTTAAAAGTTTTCTAGGATCTTGCTCTCGTGGTCTGCATTCATGTTTAAAGCACTGCTTTCTTTAATTAGATTGATATAAAATGAAGCAGTCAGACCCACGTGCTGTGCTCCTCTGTGTCCTGGACACGAAGTTGACTCTGCTGGGACACTGGTGTTTCTGAGTGGATAAAGTTCAAGCAGAGTCCTATATGATTTTGGAGTCAAGAACAAACTTCTTATTCAGCAAGAAGAAATCCCTGCCCTGATCACCCATCAGCAGGGAGAAGTGAGACACTCTAGCAAATCCCTGTTGATAAAACAAAAATCTCTGTTCAAGAACATTCTGTCTTTACGAAACACAAGTGCAGCCAGCACTCGTAACACTTGTTCGTTCGTTAATAATAAAGAGAATTCTTCAGTGACTACTGAGATGAATAAATATTTTTTAAAAAGCATGGAGTATGTAAGGAATTTTAATCCGGCCTCTGTTTCATCCCCCCACACAAGGACTGTCCAGAGACCAGTGGCCTCCGAATGATGAATGGCCCCAGACTCTGCTAGGAGGGGGAATGACCCAAGCCCGCTAATGCAGCATCTCTTTATAGCTTCCCTGGTGGACTTCTTTCTTGGCTGGCTGATGAAAGGGCTTTGGATAGGATGTAAAATGACCGTCCAGTTTCTCCTCTTACACCACACCACCTCTTTTTTTTTTTTCCTAACAATGAAATCCCAGCCTCAGCTGTATACCTCTTAGTCTGTCATAGACACTGGCTTCTGCTAGCAAATCCTTTGCTGTTAAGAAGTTCCATTAGTTAATTTTACATTAGTATCTTAAGAAGCTCTCAGTCATGGGCAAGAATACCAGGAAGTTGAATTAGTAAATGATGGAGCCATAATCAGCTTAAAGAGATGTCTTCCAGCCCCCTGCTAGAGGATGCCACAGAGTTTCTAAGCTTAGAAAATCTCTTCTCTGCACGTGGTACCTCAGGGATAACCAGAGATGCTTCTCCATAACTGCAGTCCGACTCCCTCAGCGGGCCTCCTACTGCAATGCTGCGCTCATGCACACACACACACACACACACACACACACACACACACACACACACACACCAAGCCCTGCTAGCCAGTGGCTACCTGCTAGGCAGCAGGCTGCAGGGGGTTAAGGCTGTAGACTTCCAGGCTTGTACTTTCTCCTCTGCAGTAAGTCCTGAAGCCTGGCTCCCACAGAGCATTCAGCTCTTGCAGAAGCTGTATTTCCTCCCAGATATTTTTGCTTCAAACTTGCCTTTCACGGGGTAATATAGCTCAAGAGTCAAAACTTACCCGTCACAGCATTGCCCAGAGTCTGTTCCTTTTCCTGCTGGATCTGTTACCCCTGCGGGGTCCTGGAGTACCTTGGCCTTCTTAACCTTGCTGCTGCTGCCCTTGGGGAGCTGGACGCATCCTCATTGACTGGGCTGCGTGGCTGCACATTTCCCTAGCAACCTCATTTTCCCTTCAGCTCAAACTTCTCCGAACAACACATCTCTGCCTCTGGAATTCTCTGGCCCTTCGGTATGGCACCTCCAGCCTACCATGAGAGCGCCACGCCACAGAGGGCAGATTGGGGAGACAAGGTCTGGGAACTCACCTGCAGAGCAGCAAGGCTCCTACAGGGAGGGGCTGCCTGCAAACTTCCCAGGGACTGTCTGCAGCCCAGTCCCTTGGCCTTAAAGGGGCAGGGCACTTTTCACCATATAAGGAAGGCAGCTGACCTGTCTGCCTGGGAACCTGTCTGCAAGGCAACTCCTTCTTCTGAAGTCCAAGTTCCTGGGGGCATCTGAGGATCTGCATGGGTAGGCAGTTAAAACTCCTGGATGAGGCACAAGAATGAGGTTGGCAGGCCATCTTTAAGGCCAGAAGGCCCTCACATGGAGTTCTTCTCCTTAGAAGGGCTTCTGGCAACAGGAAGCCTACCTTAATTTACAGGAAGAGTGTCTGCTTCTATTTCAGTTTTGGCTCCCTGCAGACCAACAACCCTGCTCACCTCAAGAAGATGAGGCAGACTGACCCCTTCTCTCCTGAGAGGGAAGAAGGACTGTTCAGAAACCAGTGATCTCTGAATGATAAATGGCCTCAGACTGCTAGGAGGGGAAATGACCCTTCTGGGGTGAGGTTCTGACTGCTTAAGACACTTTAGCTGCAGGGTGTGGGAGGCTGAGGCAAGAGGATTGCAAATTCCAGGCCAGCCTCAGCAACTTAGCAACGTAATTTTCTGTCTCAAAATAAGAAATAAAAAAGAGCTGGGAATATATCTCAGTGGTAGGGCATCCCTGGCTTCAATCTCCAGTACCTGTCCCCCCCAAAAAGACATATTAATCCTGCCCCCTGAGCATGAGATGGCCCCGCCTCTTAGCCCTTGCTAAGCAAAAGAGCTCACAGTCCAGGACTGAGGCCTCAGGGCACCTCCTTTTCCCCATCCCTGAGTACCTCTCTGGCTCTTTTGGCTCAAGCCCTTACAGCTGCAGAGAGGAGAACCTGTTTCAGCAAGAGCTAGCATTCCTGGGGCTGATATGTAAGCGCAAGCTGTCGTGCTCATTTGGGGTGATTAAAAGCAATTATAGAATGCTGGATTCTAAGAAGAAAGCAGAGCTCGACTTAATCATCGCCTGGGTGATGATTTCCTCCTTTGCTGCTAACAGATCCTTTGAACGCTCTCCTCAGCAGGCCAGGTAGGTCCCCCAGCACCTCCTCTTTGCTGCTTAGCTGCCTAAGCAAGAGGTGCCTGCGCCACTGAACTGGGCCTTTACAAACGTCACTGGTACCCGATCATCTGGTCTTGTCTTAAGGTCACATCTCACCTTCTTACATATGTGTTTAACACCTGATACAGAACAAACTAGGACTAGAACATACTTTTGGATCAAAGCGAGTAAATGGAACCCAGGATTTTTGTGTGATGTCTCTATACAGTTTTATGAAGAAAGTGTATGTTTATTTTTTTCTTTGTTTTATCATCTCTTTTTATACAGAGTAGTATTATTTTTCATATCATCAAACTTTCTTCAAGGGCAGAGATTTTTTTTTTTTTTTCCAGAAATTGAACCCAGGGGAGCTCAACCACTGAGCCACATCTCCATTCCTTTTTATTTTTATTTTGAGATAGGGTCTTGCTAAGTTGCTTAGGGCCTCACTAAGTTCTAAGGCTGGCCTCAAACTTGTGCTCCTCCTGCCTCAGTCCCCACCCCCCCAAGCTGCTGGGATTACAGGCATGTGCCACCATGTCTCACAAGGGCAGAAATTTTTAAAGGTTATCAAACTTACAACTCTTTGACCCAACAATCTGATTTCTGGAAATTGAATCTAAGGAAATAAAGGAGCAGAAGAAAAACAATATATAAATAAAAATGTTCATTGCATCTCTATCTGTAATAGAAAAAATGAGAAATGACTGCAGGACTCCACGGTCATTTTATATGTCAGTAGTAATAGCCTGTGTTCACTGGTTACGCACAATGTACCAGGCATCGCTCTAAGAAGGTCACAGGGACTGACTTACTCAGTCCCTAGCACAAACCTACTTGACAGACATGGGCAAGTCCCTGTTGGGACATTAAGGCAGGGAGGGTAAGAAATCTGCATTTGGATCGTGGTATTTTGATGCCAGTACCTAGAGTTTTAACATTGTTCTGTGCTCACATCAGAACTCAGCATGACAAAGGCGCTAGGGATAGATGGCAAAGCAGAAAGGCTTGCTAGTCACCTAGAAAAACAGCCAAGATAACCGTGTAGCAGTATGAATCTGCGCATGTTAGCAAGTGAACAGAAACAGAGTGTAAAATTCCTATGACGGCAATGAGCTAAACATCTGCGTCTGTAAGAAATGGAAAGCAATATGTAACACCCAAAATAGGTGTGCAAGAATGTTGGAGTATGATGTGACTTTCTCTAAAATTATCTTCAGAGGAAAGATTTTACCATGTTCATTAAAATTAATAAAAATTAATTCCGGCCACAAAAATCTCGACCTTGGCATCTTACTGCTTGTAGCACATTGGTCTTACGTGATACTAAGGAATAAGTGAGTGGGGACTGCAGGTCCTCTTGAAGGTGCCCTGGTCAGGGACACTCTGCTAATAAGAGGCTCAATGCTGGGGGCTCCATGCTTCACCTGTGCTGCCCTTCAGATCCTGAGGTCAGCTGCAGATAAGTGTATCTTACAGTGTCCATTTTACTAAACCTCAGTGTTTGGGCCTGGTAAGAACAGGGCATACCATAGAGATATTCCTGACAGGTCACTGGAATTGTCTCCTTAGGTGGATTTCAACAACACAGTCCAAATCTGGAAATGTTCCTCAGTAAACAAACACACACATCTCGGAAGATAAAGTCAGTCTATGAAGAAAGAGGAAGATTTTGGTGTAAATTGATTACTAATTCAAATTATATATAATGTTTAAAGCTGTTTTTAAGGATGTAATGAATTAATGTGTTTGTATATCGTGAGGCAAAGTCAAAGAAATTAAGCTATTAGGACAGAGGTGACATAAGGAGGTAGTAAGATATTCATAGCCTTTGACCCCAATAATTATACTTCCCTTTTTGAAATTATTTCAGAGATTTTCTTTCATGAGAGGAGGTAGAAGAGAGGGAGAGAAAACCTTGTGGTTCCAGATAAATCAGTAAATAGATTAAGATTTTGAAAAAATGTAGTAAAGTGCTTACAGGAAAATAGTGGGGTTTTTTTCTGATATTAACAATATAAACTATAGTTTGTACAGTAAAGAAATGAGCTGATCTAATTTGTTTAATATTCTTCTTAACTAAATATACATCATGTAAGAGTGTATTACCAAACTTGGAGACTTCACAAGCTAAGTCCACACTCAGGGCTAAGTGTATTCTTTGGTGTGTCACACCTGCTTTGTTTTGTTTATGTGCATATTTACGCTTATTTTTTATAGTTTTATAAGCTGTTTCCCCAAGGTATGCACACGCCGATTATAGAACACACACAGTGGCAGCCGAGGTTCCTGCTGGAAGCGCCTGGAGACTCTGGCTGGGGCATTTTGATGGTGTTCCCTCAGGTCTCAGGAACACATCAGTCCTATCATTTCTCCCCAGTGTAAAATTCCTCAGAAGCAAGCTGCTTATGGAGAGGCAGAGTAGGAACCAGGGGCGACGTTGCCAGGGGCTGGAAGAGAGACTTGCACCCTCAGCAGAGCTGCTAAAGGCCAGGCTGAGCCCCACTGGCCAGGATACCCATCCAGATCAGAAACCTCTTCTTCTCAGGAGGAGCAGCTTGGCCTGGGGAGGGGGTGAGTCGATGCTCCTCTGGGCTCTCTGTGCTTCCTTCCACACTTTCCATGATACCCCTGCACACATTTTCTCCTGTGGTATTCACACTTTGCACACCAGGGCGTGGACTGACTGACTACCTTCAACATCTGTGCAGAATTCAGCTGTGTCAACC